AATATATTGAAAATTGGAATAATTAATTTTTATAGAAAAGGAATAAAATACAATCCTGACATCATGTAACCCTACTCAACAAACTGTGGGGGCGGGGAAAAAAGAGCTAAGACAAGAAACAGCATAACAATGGATTCATTCATTCCAATGATGCTTATGTTTAAACAAGAACAGAAAATTGTAATGATAAGCAATAATAAGAAAAATGAGGGTTTGGAAACACTTGGCTATCTCTGTAATTTTGAATTTTCATTGTAACCCAAGAGGGTGACTTTCAATCCTTTTGAAGCTATGACAACCCATCTTCTGGTGGTGGAGAAGGTGGTGGAGGGTAATACCAACTATCCACCTCACTCTAAAAGTGCCACTTTGGATATAATACTATATAAAATAAAATACCAATTAAATTTAATTTTATATCAAGATTTACTGGAGAATTCAAACTAATTCTTGACTCAATCAAAGAAGTCCCCTACCTCTGGGTTGGCAATTAGTATTTTGAATTGAAGTTGGCTTGTTGTTGTTGTTATGTGCCGTTGAGTTGGACCCAACTCATAGCGACCCCTCCTTGGGTTTCTGAAGCAGTATCAGTATGGAAGTAGATTGCCCCATCTTCCTTCTGAGAAGTGCCTGGTGGGTTTGAACCACCAGTCTTCTGGTTAGCAGTCAAGTGCCTTAGGCACTATGCTACCAGAGCTCCTGAAGTTGGCTTAGAAGAAAGTAAAACACCAGGACTATCTCTGAATGTCATATGTATTATATTACTAAATACTAAAGAAACTCCTACTTATAAAAACATTGAAAAAATTTTTGGGGTGAGATATAGTAGTTGGTAACAAGACTCTATCAATTAAAATAATTTTCCATCATTCATTTATTAGTCTACCAAACACTAATTGAAGACCTACTATGTGCCAAACAATGTTTAATGTGCTGAAAGTATCAGTTAATAAGGCAAAGACGAATCTCCATTCCCATGGGGCTAATGAGAGGTGAGGTGAGTGGGTCTGGAGGAGTGGGTCTGGTGAGGCTGGGTGGGGATGGTGAGGCTGGGTGGGGATGGTGAGACAGACGATAAACTGATTAACACGATTAACAAGAAAGTGGAAAACAGTGATAAAGTCTGTGATGAAAATAAAATAGGGTGATGTGATAGAGTGTGGGTTGGGGAAGAATGCAGCAAAAGAAACTTTAGGTAGGAGTTCTTGGAAGGTCTCTTGGAGAAAGTGATGCCTAAGCCATGCCAGTCAGGCAAACAGCATTCAGCTGAGGGAGAAGCAAACATAAAGATCCACAAGTAGGATCCAGTTTGATGTCTTGGGGAAACAGAAAGATGGTCAGTGACTATGTATGTGGAGAAAGTGGTATAATAATCAACATCCTTAATGTGTCCACGTAGTACCTTTACACCTTAGTTGGGATGTCATTCTAAGAGTGATGGGAAACCTCTGGAAGGTTTTAAGCAGAGAAGTTACATGATCCAATTTACATTTTTAAAAGATTACTCTAGCTGCTATGCAATGAGTGCATTATAATAGGAGGGCAACCAGGAAGGCAGGGCTAACAGTTGGGTACATCCTGTGGCCATCCAGCTAAAATATATCAGGAGGTAGCTCTGGAGGTGGGTAGAAATAACTCTCAAAATTCTGTAGTTCTTGTCTTAAATATTTATGGCACTGTTCTGATAGTGCGATGAATGTTTAACACAACCTAACCTAATTTAGGAGGTAGAGTTGGCCCAGGAAAACCAGAAAACAGTTGAATTTCTTAAGAGTTTTTAGAAGAGGAAATTCACTGTCATCAAGTTGATTCTGACTCATAGCAACACTACAGGACAGAGTAGAACCGTCCCATACCATTCTCAAAGCTGTAATCTTTGTGGAGGTAAACTGCCTCATCTTTCTCCCGTGGAGTGGCTAGTAGGTTTGAGCTGCCAGTCTCTTGGTTAGTGGCCCAATGCTTTAACCACTGTGCCACCAGAGCTCCTTAGAAGAGGAAGAGCAGTAAAACTCCCAGGAAAGGGAAGCCCTTGTTGTAAATGCTATAAGTTAAAATTGACTCAACAACACATAACACCAATCACCACCACCCTGCGGGCACTGATGATTCAGTGGTAGAATTCTCCCCTTCTATGCAGAAGACCAGGAGCTCTCGTAGCATAGTGCCTAAAGCACTTGACTGCTAACCAGAAGGCAGGCAGTTCAAACCCACTAGCCACTCCTTGGAAGGAAAATGGGGCAATCTACTTTCACAGTGATACTGCCTCGGAAACCCAAGGAGGGGTCGCTATGAGTCAGGTCCGACTTGACAGCACATAACAACAACAACAACAACATGCAGAAGACCTTGGTTAAATTCCTGGATAATTTGTTTCATATGCAGCCACCACCCTTTTTTCAGTGGGTGCTCATGTGTTTCTGTGATGATGAGTAAGTTTTAATGGAACCTTCAGACTGAGATGGACTAGGAAGAAAGGCCTAGTGATATACTTCTGAAAATCAGCCAAAGTAAACTCTATGATCCCAACAGTCTGATCTGCAAATGATCACGGAGATGGCACAGAAGTGGGTAGCATTTTGTTCTAAGGTGCATGGGGCTGCCATGAGTCAAGGGGTTCACTTAATGGCAGCTAAGATCCACCACCCTGGAGCCACAGAACCAGAATCTTTACAGCTGTAGGCTGGGAATGTGTATTTTAAAAAATACCCCAAGGTATACTCCTTGAAATATGCAAATGACTACAAAGTATTCACTCAATAAATATTTGAACAAATTAATAAATGGGAAGATTAGGCTGCTAATGAAGAGCCAGGGTGGTTCACTTTCCACACCCTCACCCAGAGGATATACAAGCCCATTCTGTGGTGAGCTCAAACAGAGCCTCAGACCCCTCAGATTCACTTGGTAATTCACAGTGTGGTTAAAATAGTCATGTGCTACATAATGACCATTTGGGCAACATCCAAATGCATGTATGTCTGTGGTCCCCTAAGGCTATAGTAAAGTTCAGAAATCCTGATTGAAGAATGGGACACAGTGAACACAACAGCTTCCCATGTGTAACATGTGTATTTCTTGTCTCTAGGATACAAAGTGACTGTGCTGCCAGGCATATAATGGTATAGTACATATATAACTGGGGTAAATTGCTTGATATGGTCCTTCTAGCCATTGTCCTCCATTCTGTGATGTATTGTAAATCCTATTATCCATGCCTGTTTAGGGTGGTGTGGCACTTGAGGTCGGGTGTCAACTTGGCTGGGCAGCTGGTAGTAGTCGTTCCCTATAATGACTGGCAATCAGCTCAGTGGTGGGATTTGCTTTGAGCAACTGAGTAGCTGCTGATTGTTATAGCCATCCACTTGGGTTATTTCTGTTGCAGCACAACAGGTGGGATATATCTTGAGTCCTGTCTTGCTGGAGGGTATAACTCAAATCACCACACTTAGCTTCCTTGAGGGTATATCTACGAATCTCCTGGGAAGGTTTGCCCTTCTCTTGCTCTGGTTCTATTTTTTGGCTCATCCTCATCTCACCCCTGGATTTGGGACAGCAGCCATCATCTGATCTGCTGATAGAGTTCTGGGAGGATCCTCCAGACCCACTCACAGATCTGGGACTTGCCAGCCTGCCAGCCTCCACCATTACTACGTGAGACGATCCCTTGGGTGTCTGTGAATTCTGTGAGGCATTACAGCAAAATACAGAACCCTAAGATGGGGGAGATTACTGGGAGGAGGAGGAGGAGTTAATGTCTAAAATGATAGAGTGGCATAGCAGTTTGGACATTAGGAACATCTTCAACCTCCACCTCATGGGGACCGGCCTTGTGCTGATCTTTCTAAGAGAAATTGTTCGAGCAATAACCTATAAATACATAAGTCTCGATAGTCATAATAAATGCCTATGTTGCTGGCGTATGTATGTATTGTACTTTCTATCTGAACAGTGTACTGTATATCAGTGTATATGCATCTACTGGTAGACAGCTGCATCCAGTCACATGCATGGATCAGCCATCTCTTTAATGTTGTAGCATTATCTCTCTGTTTAATTTTCTTTTGAAAATATTACCATGAAGTGCATCATGACTGCCAAACTCATCAAAACCAGTGCTAGTGATAGCAGCAGCAAGAAACAAAGGAGAAATATCTATTTGGAAGTGAAACAAAAGGTTAAACTGTATGAAGGTGGAAAATGAGTGAATACTGTTGCTCGTGATTTGGGCACATCACATACAACAATCACCATGATTCTGAATGATAAAGAAAAAAATTCTCTAAGCTGCTAAAGAATTGGCTCCACTAAGAGCTACAAGGCTAAAGAAAAGTGACCTATATCAAATATGGAGAAACTGCCAATGATGTGGCTTGAGGACCAAACACAAAAGCAAATTCCTGTCAGCACTTTGGTGATCACTGCTAAGGCACAAAACTTGTTCTAAATGCTTAAAGAGAAAGCAGGACAGACTATGCTATGGTATTCTCACAGTGGCCAAATCATATAACATCCCATTTCACAGAATGTGTATCATGGATATTAAATGACTCATGATTATATATGGTATGATTAACCTTATGCCCTTCCTGTTTTAAATAATTATTCTTGGTGACCATATGAAAAGACCATTTGTCTCCCCAGCTAAGAAAATGCAAGCCTCTCAACTGGTGGTACACATCACATATTTTAAAGGCAGAACCATCTTTAAAAAGTATATATAGCACAATTTTGATGTTTTAAGAACTTTCAACACAATGGTAGCAGGGCCTTACAGGGCCAACTTATCCATTAAACATGATAGGCACAGTGCCTAAGACCCATGATACATTTAGGGGCTCATGAAAATATTTATTTTAAAATAATAAGAAAAATGTGAATATATTCTAGTCTGGATTTATATTTAACTTAGTTCTAGTGTAGTCGTAAAATATAATTTTTAATGTTTTTGTTTGTTTGTTTTAATCAAGAAGTGGCCACAGAAGTCATATCACGACCCTTACCTGACAGGCATTGTACAAGAGCTGGTGTTCGAACTTCTTGATTCCAAGGATATTCTGGAACATCTCGTAGAGTTGCTCCTTGCTCAGAATCAGCTCAGAGGCTGCACTGGCCGTCATACGAGCCTGCTGCTTCCTGGGGTCTTCTTCCCCACGGTAGATGGCATCAAACTTGGCCATCCAGGAGCTCAGCACAGTCTCTTTGCTGAGGCCATCGATTTCGGGCAAGCTGCGCACCCTCTTTTCGATGTGCTTCTTGAAGACCTCCCGTGAGTCGTTAGCAGAGCAGCCCCCACTCTGGACCATGCGAGCCACGCGGTCGCTCTTCAAAAACACCTGAGCAAAGGCAAGGCCAAGAGAGAGAGTTAGACATTGTTCATGGAGGCACAGGTCACTGGCGCCAATCCCTTTACATGCACTCTAAGAGGTATGAGAGGGGGTCAGATGCTACCCTCTTCAGAGATCTGTGAACTCAGACAAGTCACTTACACATTTTGCTTTTGTATCCAAAAGTGCAAAATGAAAATAATGGTATGTACTGGGTTGTTGTGAGGATTAAATGAGACAATAACATCAGCAGAGGCAGCATGCAAGAGTGGGAAAGGACACATTATGAGGTCATACTACTACTTAGTAGCTGTGTGGTTTTTAGCAAGTTAACCCCTCCGTACCTCAGTTCCTTTATCCATACAATGGGGAGGATGATAGACCCTGCATGGTAGATATTTTTAAATGATGACTGAATGAATTACAATCTGAGAAACACTTAAAACAGTACCTAAAAAAACCAAACCAAAACAAAAAAACCTCACTGCCGTCAAGTCAGATCTGACCTAAGGTGACACCTCTTTGGGTTTCTGAGGCAGTATCACTACGGAAGTGGATTGCCCAATCTTCCTTTCAAGTAGTGGCTGGTAGGTTTGAACCTCAAGCCGTCTGGTTAGCAGTCAAATGCCTTAGGCACTACGTTAGATGGCATAAACATGTCTACAGTTCCTGGTCTACTAGAAATGCCATGTGAGTTGTTGTTGCTTTGGTTATATGTAAAGCATCTGGCACCATACTTGACACATAACACTTAAACATTAACCATTATTTGCATCTCATTTTATCTACACAATGATACTCAACACAAATAATGGGTGGGAACTCTGTCCTTGTTCCCCACAATATCACTGGTACCTAGGACAGTACCTAGCACTGCCAAAGAGAATGAGCAAAGGAGGTAGGTGTGATATTCAGTCCATTTTGCAATTGGAATAACTAAGGATCCAGAGAAAAGGGACTTGCTTTAGGTAATTCAAATTTGTTGACTACAAAATAATACTGTTTTTACTCTCCCTGGTTCTTTCCTTCCTATGGTTCTCCTGCCTGGTGGACAACCCTTGGTTTGTTTTGCCGGTGCTGCCTGGGTCTTGGGACCATGCCATCCATTTTGGGAAAAAAAAAAAAAAACAAACCTCATTAAGAACATACTACTTCTTTTGCTCCAGTGTCCACTATTCAGAAGCTTACACATGGTTGTAGGGTGTAATATAAAGTACTGAAGGTGTTGCTTCATATTCAGAGACAGGAAGCAGCTGACACTTTTGAGCTGTGTCCTGGTCATACTTCAGAAAGTGCATAAATATCCTTCAAGAGACAGAGTAAAAGCTCATTCTTCTGTCAGATTTTAGGAAATGCCCTTATTGGCCATGAGACAGCATTGCTTGTGGACCATCTCATTGCCTCATAATTTATCACAAAGGCCTTCCTAGGGAGAAGAAATGTTAGAAAGGTGGACTCCACTTATTCTCAGCTTAATGAATTAATTTAGAAAGAAGAAGGGCAAGGTTTGCTTCACAGGCAAGAAGTCATGGCCTATTCCCCTGTGCCTGAGAACTGGTACTTGGTTAAGACCTTATTGCTTAGTTTCAAATCAATTATAGAGAAGGTATTTTAAATGAATCCTCAGGCCTTATAAGTCTTAATGAGCTAAAGAATTCACCTGAAAATCTGTAATGCTTAATGTAGATAGTTTCTTCATTTAACACATTATTTTCTCAGTCACAGATCTAGATCTCAAAAAAAAAAAAAAAAATCAAAGTTTTCAGGCAAATAGAAATTTCTGGAGCAGTATGACAAGCATTGTGACAAGAGCTGTAAACCATGACCCCAGGCCAGTTCTGTCTCCAAGGTGCTGTGTGACCTTGGGAAAATCACTACTTATCCTCTCTGATTCTCTAGTCTCTTCTCTGTATATTGAGTAAGTGAACTACATGATTCTAGGATTGTCCTTCCAGCTTTGATGTTTATAATCTTCATGAACCCACTCACTCTTTCTCTCAGTGCTCATTAGGTAGAAGGCAAAATGTTAGGTACCAAAAATAGAGTGGTGAGCAAAACAGACAGAGACATAGACCTTAAAGGTCACAGATGTCATCCTAATGTGGTTGTTGTTATGTGCCATCGAGTTGGACCCGACTTATAGTGACCCAGTGATACTCCTAGGTTTCCGAGGCAGTATCACTACAGAAGTAGATTGCCCAACCTTCCTTCTGAGGAGTGGCTGGTGGGTTTGAACCACCAGCCTTCTGGTTAGTCAAGTGCCTTAGGCACTACACTACCAGAGCTCCTGTCATCCTAATAATCCCATACAAATATAATTACAATCTAGGATAAACACTCTCCAGAGACAATACAGGGGTCTATGAGACCATATAGCCAGAAATCTATTCTAGTTGGTGCTCAGGAAAGACTTCCTGGAGAAAAAGAACCTTTGAGATAATATGGAAAAGTTGTATAGGTGAGGAGCATGTCAAAGAATATTTCATAGAAAAGGAACAATACACGTAAGACCCTGAAGGTCTGAGGAAATGAGGATAATCCAGTGTGGCAAGGCACTGAGGGCCAGGGAGTGAATAAAGCAAGAGGAGCAGGAAGCAGTCAGATGGCCAGGAACACAAGGAGCCATCTGAAGGGTGTTGAGCTTCACTTTAAGGCCACCTGGAATCCACTGAAGGTTTCAAGATGAAAAACGGCACAGTCAAAGTTACATTCTTTGACTTCACTGGGGAGAAGAGAACTGAAGGAGGCTAAAACGACCAGGCAGGTCAGTTGGAAGGCACTTGATAGGGTAAAGGTCAGTGATGACAGTGGTGGAGATGGAAAGGGGTTAATTCTTTGTTGCCAGCTCTACTTGAAAACACTGAATTGATAATGAAATCATGCTCTCCTTCCCATCTGCCCATACCAGTGTCCCAGACTGGGTTCAGGCCCCCTACAAGCTCTTACCACCATATTCCTTTCCCCAGAGTCCTTCCACAGCTGCCATTTGACATTTATTTTCTGATTGTTTGGTTAATCAGTACACCCAAAACCAAAAAAAAAAAAAAAAAGAAAAATTCTGATTCACAGTGACCCCATTGGGCTTCAGCAGACTGCTGCAACCTTCTCTCATGGAGGAGCTCATGGGTCTGAACCACTGGTCCTTTTGGTTATCAGCCTAATACTTTAACCACTACCCCACCAGACCTCCTTAATGTACCATAGAATAGATACAAATATCAAAAAGTCAGGAGTTGTAGCTGCTTTTCCTATCACTTCTTCCTAGTACCTTGTGCTTGACATTAGGCTTGTAGTTGAGGCTCAGTAAACATTTGCTGAATGAGTGAATGAACAAGAATAAAGCCAACTCCTCTAGCAGAGGCTGTACTGAGTGAGACTGTTAAGATGGGGACAAGAAGAAAAGGGAAAACCAACAGGCACAACATATTGGTCTCTGAAAACAACTGATTTGAGCTAGATTTTCCATGGGATCTGATAATAGGGGGGTTTAGAAATGAGGATATTGGCTCACTGGAGTCCCTAAATGGCTGGGTGGCCCCCAGATCCTGGTATATCATCTGCCTTACATAGTCCCTCCCGCTGTACATAGTAGCCACTCAACACTTTTGTTGAACCACTAGATGGATGACCTTAGACAAGTCACTTCTTTCAACCTCACTCTCCTTCACTGTCACCTGGGGTTAATCCAGCCAGCCTTCTTTGAGAAGGATAAAACTGAGAAGACCTTGAAAAGTGGAGCACATCTGTCTTGAGGTAACATATGACTGCCAGACCCCAGACAGAGAGGAAATGGGTAGAATGTCAAGAGGGTGGAACAAAGAAGCTGAAGATTGAGGAGACAGGAAAGAGGAGGTGTCAGAAGGAGGCAAGACAGTTATAGTGAGAGAAGGCAAAAGCAGAAAACTAATTTTCCTGTCTTAGCTTAGTCTGTCAGAGAGGGAAATAAGGCCTGAGCCAGCCTCACCCTAATGAATGTAATGAATACAGCCACTAAGTACTGATGTGTTTGTGTGTTCCTAAAACAACCCTTGAAACCTATTTGTGCTGGGATTTTTTTTTTTGGTAGTTGCGAGGTTCTTCAACCCCAGGCACAGTTCTATGCGGGCACATCCATAAATCCTCCTGTACTACTCTGCCAACTTCCAGACAGGTCATAATGGGAGATGGAAGATAAACAAATAAATACGGGATTGTGAAGGGCAGTCAATTTAGTGACTCGACCTCATCCATCAAGTCCTTTCCTCCTTCACTAGAGCCAAGCAACCTCAAGGTTGTTTTAGAAACACACAAATACATCAGTACTTAGTGGCTGCACTCATTACATGATGAGGCTGGTTCAGCCCCTGGCCCCCTCCCCCTGCTTCCTTTTTGGCAGGCTGAAAAGGCAAGATAAATCCTTTCCTGCTCTAAAAACCTTACCACTCAGGCATAACTAAGAAAAAGACCTAGATATTACACTAAATAAGATTTTTGTAAAAACCTAGTTAATGAATGGTACATAAATAATGGGAGTAGGTACTGCATTTAGGAGCATGGGCACTGGTGTTAGGCCATTTGGGTTAAAACCCTGTCTTTACTCCTTGCTAGTTTTTGTTACATTGGAAAGTTATTTAATCTATCTTGGCTTTCAGTTTCCTCACCCATCTTAAATGTGGCTAATAACAATCTTACCTTGTAGGATTTGGGGGAGATTCAATAAGATAATGCATGTCATCTGGTTACCATGTCAAACCAAAAACGAAACTCATTGCCATCAGGTTGATTCAGACTTACAGCAATCCCTCCTTGGGTTTCTAAGCTGGTATCTCTACAGAAGTAGATTGCTCAATCTTCCTTCCAAAGAGTGGCTGGTGGGTTTGAACCACCAGCCTTCTGGTTAGCAGTCAGATGCCTTAGGCACTACGCCACCAGAGCTCCCAGTTAACATGTAGCCTATTATAAATTAAGAATGTATTAAGAGCTGGCTGTTATTTTTTAATAGATTATCATGAAGCCATGCAAAAGATACA